TGATATTGCGAGCAAGTTTAATTAGTGCACGAAGTACAGTTGCATTAGTAAAGTTTTTTGTTACATGCGTGCGAATTTGACATATAATTTACGAAATTTTGTGTTACTCAGTCATTTATGGGAGGGGGCTGTAGATAACCGAGAAACTATTGCATATACAATTATTAAAGAACAATCCAATCAGAGTGCGCTGACCTCAACTCTCGTACCAAGAAAATACCTTGTATGAGGTAAATAATGAGACCGTTGAAGAAATCAAAAATTCCTTACCTATTCAGACCTACTCATTAAAAAAGCTTTTGCAATGATGAACAGAATTAAGAATAAATGGTTTGACTGTGATCGTTTTTCCTGTATGTATGAGCAAATTACGGCGAACAGATAAAAACTAGTAGCCGTTAATGAATTGATAGTAGATCTGTGTACCCGGACTAAAACGTTGTTCCCGAACAGTTTGTTATATCGACTATATCCATATCTTCGTTCAACACTAATTGTAACGATTATTTATACTTACTAATGCTGGATGTTAAACACCCAGTCTTCTTTTTTTTAAGTTACAACCCATACACAATCTTAAATCCCTTGTTGCTGGAACAATTGATTTTGGCGAGCCAGTGATTTCTCAAGCAATTGAGCCAAAGACTAATGAGGATAATGGCAAACTCTGAGAAATAAGCGGTTGTAATCTTGTAAACAATTAAAGCTACTCAGTATGCATGTTATAAAAAAATTTTTTAGTTAATAATTATGTTTATGGAACAAATTCAGCTACTGGGATTAGAACAGTATCTTACAACCAAATCTGCTTAGATAAACATCTTGAACAAAATGAACAAATTGAATAATAGTTACTAAAAAAAGGCAAAGGCTTTTTATTCCGAAACTTAAACTGAATAATAACGATAATATGACCTTTATAAAGAATTTAATGATAACAATAATGATAAGAATTTACCTCGAGGATGAGAACAAGAGTTAACGCGTTTTGATAAATCATTAATTACATTACGATGTTGTAGTGTGAACTTCAATAATTAATTAAATCATGGACTTTCAATGTTTGAAGTTTTTAGATTACCATAAATAGTCTTTTTGGACAAGGTGTCTTGAAAACACACTCCACTAAAACACTGATTGGTATAAGAACTGTCTAGAGCAATATTCCACCCATAGACGCTACATTATACGTTTCATTTCTACCGTGAACTTGAAGTTTTTAAATTTTCGAACTTAACTAAACTTTGACGCTTTCGGATCCCAATTAGTGAATAGTATTAATTATCGCGACACACTACATATGCATACGTGTATAATGACGCGTAGTCTGTTATAGTAAGATCTTTAAGCCGTTTGCTTTGTACATGTATTATATAAATACAGTCACCTCTATTATATCCTACCTGTAAAGCGGGGTAGATTTCCTATTACCTCATTTGTGTCCCCTTCAGATATACCAATATTTTGCCGTCCCAAATTTCCATATCATATAGTAATTTATTAGTATCATATTTATATCCCTATTACTATTACTATATATGATACGAGTATTATACAAACTGTCACGTCATTTCTATTTCACATTCTGTACAAGTAAAATATAAACAACTAACCTTCCCGACATTAAAAAATAAATTTCATTAACCGAATTATTAACCAATAAAATTGCATGTTTTAAATGAATGGTTTATGCTACCTCATTTGTATCCCACTTCAGATATATTCCCAAAAAATCCCCATCCCAAAGTGGGGATGTAAACGGTATTTACATTGACTTACCTCATAGGAAACGCACTGAAAAAAAATGCAAATTCCCAACATTGGTGGTACAGTGGCTCGAAAATAATGTTAAAAGTTTCTTTGTGGAAAAAAAAAAGGGGGGGGGTCAAGAAGCTTCTTCATTCATGTCGCCATTATTATGTGATTAGTGATGAGCCAAGAATCATAATCATATTCGTGCTGTTTAAGTAGAGATAAATTGTGTAGTATAAAAAGACAAGGCAACGCCTAAAGATGTGGTTGACACTTAAAATCTGTCAATTTATATATACAAATTTTCTCACTTACAATCACCATACGACGTTTATACGATAGCAAAACAGTTGCCTGTGATTTATTCTTTAAATGTTGACAGCTAGATAATAACAATAGGAATAGCAATAGCAGTAGTCACTTATCAATATGTTCTCCCGTTATGAATAACCCTTTTCTCACCCCATGGTTGTTCGTAATCGGTCATGCCAGAGAGGATGTTATGGCTTTTACCCAAGATTTTCTTGGCAATATTTCCAACGCTGCTTTGCGGTTTTATTGTTGCCTTATATACCACACTAAATGCCTCATTTTTATGTCACTTTCTGGGCAGCAATAAATTGCGCCTCCTTTGATGCTTCTTTTTATCCATTCTTTGTACGAATTATTAGATATTATTAAAGAACGGAAGTGGTACAGAACAGCTCTTATAATGTAACTAAACGACAGTCGAAGGCTTTTCGGAATAACATTCTTATAAGTGTACAACAAGAAATGAACATGAAACTTTACACATATGCTCTTCATCATACAACAAAACGTGCTACTTAATAGCTCATTTCTATTTATTATTACCATTCTCCTCCAATTTTATTTAATCTCGCGGCATGCTATGAATCAAATTAACGTAAGTACTTGTTCCAATCTCTCCCCGAAGATTACCCATTTTAAGCTTTTAGATCATACATTCTAGAAAGTAAAGTAAAAGTTAATTTATGTATAGCGTAGGCATCTTGAGTGGTTATAATCTTGCGATGTTGGTCAATCGTAGGCTTGTCACTGTATTTTTAGTAATAAAACGAAAGGTGTAGACAAATAAAACAAATCGCGCGATTACAAGTTATGTAAACGAGTTTTTTTGTCGGTGTTATGTGTATAAGAATAGAGCATACAAAAACGCGTTAGATGTCTTATTGATTAGGCGTGTATTTGGGCAGGAGTAGAGTTTATGCATTCTATTCCAAAATTTTTCGTCGCACTGTATATTAATTCTTCGAAAATTTTCAGTACGAAGCAATGCTATAATAAATTTTGAAATCTACGAGAGCCAAGAATGTATTCATCTAATCCTTTGGCTATGGGTATCCATTCCAACACACAGTTGGGGGACAGGTTCAATTAATATTATGAAGTAAAGCGGTCAATGATGTCATATGGTTGTTTGTAGATGTATCACGTAATCATGGCCAACTTTTATTTGCTAACATAATAAAATCTCTTGACAATTCCATAGTTTTTGCCGTCATTCTTATAATTATTAATTTATTACAACATTCGTTTGTGCGATACCAAAGACACCAAAACTACCACAAAGTTGGTACATCTCAATGACTAGTTAAGATTCCTCATTTCAATGCGTAAAATTATATGTATGCTTTATTTTGAAGGCAAAGGTTTTCTTCTTCCACCTGCATATCCTCATCATGAAATGGTCGCTGCATTTTCTTGAGAAGATTATGGACACAACCTAACCTCGATATAAGCTTAAGATTTGTTTTTTGTGCTCCAGTCTATGGACAACTAATTTCCTAGAAAAAAAAAATATTATCACGCTTTTCTGAACTTATTTGCTACTATCAACTATATGGTTTAAACATTTTTGTAAGCGCGTCAAAACACATATAATTACCTGTAATTACTGTAATCATTCTAATCGCATTGAAATTAGTTGTCTATAAACAGCAAAGTTGCTTACAACCGACTGTCAAAATACCTTGTATCTTGTGCAAACCAACGTTGTCACAATTTTTTTGCAAGTCAACAGTTTGTTCAGACGATTCAATGGCACCTTTTCTTGTGAGCGTTATAATTAATTGTTGTACAGTATAAACCAATTAGTAAAAAGAAACTAGTAGATTAATTTAAAAGCGATTATGTTTGCGCTAACTTTTGTATTAATTTTATGGGATTGGTTATTATTGTTATTATTAGTTTGAGCGTACTTCTTATAAAATTTTGTCGAGAATTTTCAAAACAACATTTCAACTTATTTGCGAGGTGCGAGTTTATGAAATATCGTCTATTCTTTTTATTAGGAAATCGTGTATTACGTGCATGAGACATTAACAATGTGTTCCTTTTATAGAGAGAAAGGGTTTGCTTATTCATGTTACAGATTTAAGCTCTTGTTACTTTATCCGATTGGCTAGAAATCATTGTGGCATGCATTTAATCCCGCATTTAATCATCATACATTCTTTTCATCATTTCCGAAACAATTCTAACGAGAATGACATCGTGTCACATACGTGCTTTTGTCCACTCATTATTGTCGATGTAAACAATTAGACCCGCTCTTTCATGTTTCCCGTTTTCCGCAATGATTTACTGCGTGATAATAATTGACAACCTCGTGCAACCATATGTATGTCAAAATTGACCGATTACAAAACCATAACGGGAAACTCCGAAGAGGAATGGGCTTGTGCGTAGCCCATTATGCGTAAATACGGCGTAATATGATTTCCGCATCCGCATAGACATTATTAGTACCTTTTCGCTTTAATCGTTACCGACGCACTACGCCTCCACTGAACGCAGTTTCCCTTACGATAGATATATAGAGTCGAGAAAACACATACGCTCGCAATCGTCACTGGATAGAATAGATAGACCACAAGAGTAAAAATGTCGATATTGACAAAAGATTTGATATTCAGTAAAACAAGCGCAAAGTCACTGGCTGACGTTAAGAATCTGAATCTGTGGGGCTGCGAGCTGGTGAACGTTAGTTTATTGAAGAAGTGTCCTAACCTTGAGGTGTTAAGTTTGAGGTCAGATATTGTATAAATAAATTATTGAACATGGATTCAAGTTTATGCTCATCTGTGTTGGTATATTAAAGAATCCTCTTTTTGTTACATTCCCAGTGTTAATAATTTGACAACGTTAGATGAACTGTCGGAATGTGAGTTAAAAGCTTTCAAGTATTATCTGCTATAGCATTATGTTTAAAGTAGTTTATTCACAACGTAAATTATGCGCTCGATCTGTACCTATCTCTAGGCAAGAATTTGACCGGTATGTGGATAGACGGTTATCACACGTCATGATGTATTAGGAACGACCTCTTCTTACCTCCCGCTACTTGTCTGTTTTGTATAGAACTATATTTACGTAAGAATTACATATCCGACATAAACCAAGTGAAGCACCTGACATCACTACGTAAACTAGAAATATTATGGCTTTGTGACAACCCATGCTCAGAGGACTATGAGCAGTACAGATATGCAGTCCTTAGTTATCTACCATGGCTCAGGCAGTTAGATCACCAAGGTACACTCGTAACAAGAATCATACATCCACGTATTCATGAAACAGTTATCGATATCCCAATATCTAACACTCGTTTTTATTACCCAAGATGTCGACGACGAAGAAGTTTTTGCATCAATGAACGCATCAATATCAACCAAACCACGTCGCAAACCACTTGTCAAAACAAAACAATCATTCAGCAGATCATCGTCTTCAGACAATGAAAGAAGCGAAAGAATATACTCGGATATAAATATCAACAACTCCATAACAAACGTTCTCATACCACCAATTACGATCAAGTCCAAACAAATTACGTCAAAAGCAGTTGATATTGGACATACAAAAACACGATCTTTGAGAGGATCTGACATTGAAATGAGCAAAAGTCTTTCCAAAACACCTACTAATCGATCACGATTAACCCGCTCGTCACTACTCTTGTCAGAGAAATCACTGTCGAAATCACCCTCGTCTCTCCAACATTCGATTCCGTTGACTCGGTCCATCACTCACTCGCCAACTCGAATTCCCATATCTCGATCACAATCTCCAGCGCTCTCGGCTGGTGTCAGAACGCCGCCTCGGCAAAAAACAACGACGGGTGCAAAAACGCCTACCGGAATTATCTCACCGAAAAGGTCGTTATCTCCCGCTCCAGTTAGATCGGGTAGGCAGACACCAGTGGATGTTCGAGGCAGACTTGGAGCACAATCTCCAGCGGTGAGTGAACGCAGTAGCAGGGCACGTACCCCAGATGTCGGTGAATTGAAAGGAGCAATGTCACCGATCGTTGTGGTGGATGATACGAGTTTGAGTGGGAAAGCAAGGTCTTTAATGGTTGGCGGGGAAATGAGTAGGAGTCTTTCTAGAACGCCCGAGCTCAAATTGGATCATGACGACGGCATGTTTGAAAGCAAGAAAGGCAAGGCACAGGTAATGTGTGGGGAAGGGAGGGGGTGGGAGTTAGGATGAGAGTTTCACGTTTTTGATGGGACGGGGATTACGACACGTTGGTGGCTAATTTTCAAATTTTCACTTTTATAGTCGAATGCTTTGACGGCAGTTCTGGCATTGTTAGACGATTTGTCAGATAAAGAAATTCTGACTGTTCAGCGTAAACTCCGGCTTATTATACTAAACAAACAGGGACAACCAAACTAATCATGGAAACACATATAGTAACAGGGAAGGGTGGGGATATAATACCATATTACGTAATTAATTAGACATTATTAATTATTATTTATTATCACGAGTATGTCTTAACTTTGGTAAATTAATTTATTAAATAATGCTATTTAGAGCTTAGACTATTTTATATAATTTGTATATATACTATTATTCCTTTCGCTGATTCAATGATTTATCTTTGCTACAACCCACGCACGATACAATGTAATTTAACTACCTATCAACCGCATTACTATTAGAACGATGATTCATATATAACTTGGTCATATTCACATCTCCCCCTTTTTAATTTTCTTTCCTGTCTTTCATTTCCACTACTATCCAAAGTTATTTTATTATTCGCCCAGAAGAGAAAACACCCCCTTTCACAATCTCTCTTGCTGGGAAACCATCGTTTCAATAAAATTTTTTAATTTTTTCTCTGCGTCATTTTGCAACTGCACGAGTCCCCATGTCTTTCCTTGCGTAATTGTTCTATTTCTTTTTGCAGCTGCTTTTTCAACTCCTCGGTCGATTTCATACATTCCTCATATTTGTCTCTGTTAGACTTGTAGGATCTAATCAAAAATGATTTGGAAAAGAAGAAAAAAATTTTATTTTTCGGAACAAGCAAAGAGTCAAGGATAAATTAAGAGTGAAAATACGTGTAGCAAGTTCCAGACTTGGTTAAAAGCCCGTCCAATTCACTGGCCACATACAATACCTTCTTTGCTCCCATATGATCAATCCAGAAGCAACACCAAATACTATTGTCTCGCCAACGAAATTAGCACCCATCTCCACAGCTCTATATTGGTCAATTATTCATCAGACAATCACAAAATTTCTTGGTATTCTCTCACAAGAAAATTCTAATCAGTTTTAATTCACCAGAACTCACAAGAAACTGTTCCTTGTATCCTTACTTTGCATCTTTCAAAGGCCTAATGGGCGCTGACTTTTGACCGAGAAGATTCATTTTTAATTTCATTTCCAAACGATGTGTTGCCTAAATTCAGAGAGTTGGATGATGGTTAGCTATAGATGAAGGAACTGTGTGTTGGGAAATGAAAAAAGGAAGAAGGTGAACCTGGGCAAAGCTGATGCATGCTTCTCTGAATCGTCGGTGGTTTTTGCTATATTCCTTATAGGAGAAAGTAAAACTATTTAATGAAATGGGGGGCGATGATTCGTAATATTATATTGTAATCACATACTTTTATACTATTGGCAATTGGTTTGGCTAAAGTTCGTACTAACAACGTGGCCAGCTTCACTGAACTCATGTTTAAAAAGTCCAGAATGATTATCAATAATTGTATATCAAGTGATCGACATAAGCATTGGATGATGATTACTGTTTTAGATATTATGTGGTGAGAATTAGCTTACAATGTTTTGCGCGACACAATCGATAGATCTTTTTCCAGATAGTGAGCCTCTAAAATAGGACTGGATTGCTTATCTCTCTTACTTTGAACAGGAACGACAATAGCTCGAAAACTTGCTGTCACACGGAAAATATAATTAAGACAGAATAGTGGTTAGATCTCAACAAGTAGTCTTCATACAAAATTGGTGTGTATAGAATTCTCTAAATTCAGTTTGCATTTAAATCAGAAAGACACTCATATACTGTATGCTTCAATCGTGACTTTCTCATAATGCAGGGTAAGAAGAAAAAAAATAAATGGGGGTGACAAAACTGTAATCTCAACAATTACGAATTCGAATAAAACAAATTTAGTTTCTTCGAAGCTCATATGACGATTTACCAAAATTGTTTCGCATCTGCCTTTCATGGAGAAGACTAAATTATTAACTATCTACAAATCTTGCATATTTATTATTCATAATTAGTTACATATTTTCTATATTCGGGCAGCTGGATGACCAGCGGATCGAATTTCCAGCAACGATGCAGATGGTGTCTACGAGTAAAAAGATTTGTGGGTTAAAAAAGCCTAAACTTACTTTATATAAATGGTTGTTACTACATAAATAACAACAGGCTCAAGAAAAAAAGTTAATATTGTAACAAAAACATTTAAAGTTTTTATTTTTAATTTTCACAATGAATTCCTAACAGCACGAGAATAAACCATTTTTACATAAAAATTATTTATAATAAATTAAGTCTTTCCTATTTGCCTCCACGCGGGATGGGTTTTATGCTATCGAGGAACCTTGTTATAAAAGCTGCCTCATCGGTGTATGTGTCCGCGTTTCACGTCTCAATATACCTAAAGTGCCGTGGAAACTAAACGGATTACTACGCAGGGCTAAAACTGGTGAACCGTATTCTCCAAAACAGATCATATCGTTGGTTTGGATAAACACAATTTGTCTTTGCAACGCAGATAGGTGGATACTTAAAAGTCTCCGACACTCCCAAACTTTTGTTATCCATGCATAACATTACAAGCATAGTTTGCTAATAAATAAATTAAGCATTATGAAGGAAATGTTCAAACCCCACAACTATTTGCAGGATTTGTAGCGATTGTCATGTAGTTTTAAATAAATGTAAATGATACGGTATTTTATTATAACGTTTCGCAGAGAAACATGCATTCGTCTGATGTAACAGTACTTTCTCTTGCCATACATTCTTAAAAAATCGGTAGAATTAACTGAATTTGAATGTGTAGTTATCATCGGGGGTTGTTTGGACACTGAACGCGAAGTTGAATCAAATGCTGGTCACCCCGCGAGCATAATACGTGATATGATAGAAAGATATCGTGTGACTGGTGTTGGAACGTTCATCCATGCAGTGGAAGATCACCAATACTCACTGATAGAGACAGCAGCATATTGTAAAGATGTTCAGTCAAAGCGTCAACAATCTGCAAGGCAACCTTTTCCAGCCATCCGGAATTGTTGCCAGTCTTTCAACAATTAAAAGAGTTTTGTATAAAGGTCATACCAATAAATTTGCCCAAGTGAATAGCTTTATAATGCATGGCTTTGTTGAAAACTTTGTTCAACGTTATATAGCACTTTATATATAAATCTTCGTTTATCCGAAATTATTCTGTCAAGAGTGAATTGGTTCAGATACATATCAGCTCAGAACTGGTAGAGCTTGTGCAAAAGTTAGTATTCTTATGCGTCTGATTTTAACCTACACGAATTGTAACTTATTATATTCATGATCAAACGGAATTTGCAAACTTACCAGGTGAGAACGACTGTCGGGTGTACAATGCTACTATTGACACTTTTATCTTTGAAATACAGTCTAATCTCGATATAATGAAGACTTGATACAGTGAATATGGCACTTGATGAAGATACAAAAACAGTATTATTAAGAACTTGACTATATTGAAAATTTTCGATATAGTGAAGAAAAACCCCCCGTCCCGTTGACTTCATTATAGGTTAGACAGTACTTCGAAACAAGAACTTGTTTGCGATTAAGATGTTTCCATGACTAACACATCTACAATTAATCAAAATCCGCCAGAGTTTGGCATGGATGGCAGATAAGTAACAAACAATTAACGATATCATATGGCGCAATCAAATTATCAGACATGGTCAAATCATCGTAGGTCTATGTTCATTTTTTTGTCATTTATAGAACCGACTGTTAACAAACCGCCTGCTCTTTAATGTGCAAGATGTTTTATTCGGGGATCGATTTTTAGAAGCATTTAATGTAAGCATTGCACTAAACAGTTTAGTGAACACTTATTTATTCAAGCGGTCTGGTTCATTTCTCATTTCCCCGACAGTTTATTTCCCCAACAATCATTTCCCTGACAATTACACTCGTACCCCGTTTATATCCCTACCCGGTTATATCCCACCCCCGGTTATATCCCCAAATTTTGTAAAAACAAATGGCCTTCTAAGAACGAATGTTCCTTTTTGTGCCAATCTCAAATATATCCGAATATAATAATCCGAACTCCCAAGTTACACCAATTGCTAAAAAAGACTGCGATGGGCGTTAGGCAGTGTAATAAATTTTCGTGTTCATTTTCGTGTTATTTGTTTGACATTTACATAGGATGTTGTGAATAAAAGTCCCTCGCGATAGTTATGTACATGAAATTTGATTCTTTGATATTAGAATGTCTTCCAAATAGTGATGATGATGAAGATAAAGAAGAGGAGAGATCCATTATTACTTATGAAGAAGGTAAAAAAAGCGTTTGGTATATTCAAACAGTATATTGAACAGTTAGATCATGCAATATTTCTTTTCTGAACAACTTAATGAAAAAGGCTGAAAAATAACACATTGATAAATTAAAACAAAGCAACTGGATTTATATTTTTGATAATAACATTGTACGTTATCATTATCATTATGATTCTTGCAATGTGACTACGAGATTAATATATTACTACGAGATCATCCTTACCCCCCTTATATCCCCACTTTTGGGCTAAACGAAAGGGGGGGTATGAGTGTATTTCTCATCGTCCGTCGCTGTTTATTATTTACGGTATAATCTGTAAAATCAACTCGAACGTTTGTCAATCTATAATGGTCGATCCGTTGGTAAACTCAACCAAGGATTCGCAGGTATATTCTTCAAATCCTACACAAAGATAGGCGTGTAAATACAACTGATCATGAAATACACTTCGTTCTCCCTCTTTCAATTACACGTCGTTCCCATCAGACTAACCTTCAAAAAATCCTCACCCATCTTCCTAATGTTTTCAAAACGCCTACTTTGCCCACCAGATTTATTTTTACTATCGACAAAAGATAACTTCGAAAATGATTGTGGGGAATAATTGTTGGGGTGAAGATTGTCGGTGAAGTGATTGTCGGGCTCCTCTTGAGGTACTATCAATATGGCATTGATTATTAGACGAAGCAACTCGGCAAACTTTGACAAGCAGATTTATTCCTCTAATCTTGAAACCCTCCCAAGACCGGCCAGCGTGCTTTAGTTTGTCCTTGTTCTCATCTCTTACGCAATATATATACACAACATCAAAACTTGCCACAGGCTTTAAATGTATCAGAATATATATGCTAAGTCTTTAATATTGATAATTTATACATGAGTTTATATGACGTCTATGTTTAATACATGATAATATAGGGCGAGCTATTGTTCTATTCTCGCGAAACTAGGAAAAAAACAACAATCTTAACATTAATGCTGGAAATAAGACTTAAGTAAGTTAAGCAATAAATACAGAAAGCATAGATTTAGATTAATCTAAGGTTGGAAGAATATTTAGTATCAACATGGTTGAGTTTGCATCGCACGTTACACAACATTTAAATCATTACAAGGGTATGAGTTAGTAACTTAGTAATGGCGCACGTTTGCGGGCAGTCACATGATTTTTTCCTCATCAGCCTTAACTCTCGTTGGACGACCTGTCGGTGGCGCAAAATCTGCTTATCCCCACCAAATATGTCTACTTGAGTTACACACGGTCTTCATTCAAGATAATCCCGCGTCATTTTATAAAGTTTATTAAGACTCTTAGTCGTATTATATGTAGATAATCACAAAGATAATAATGAAAAAAATATAACAACGGATTTATTAATGACATTGAATATGAAATCGATGAAAAGGTATGGTGCTAGTATAGTTATACTATCGCTAGTATTATAAATAATGACATCGTTTATCAAATTCTTGGGTCCAATTAGTCTATGAAAGTCTTTAATTTAATCGAAAGGCGAGTCTTGAATTGCGCGGAGTGTTCCAAGTTCGCTGTTGCGATCTAGCCATCAAAACTGCTTGGCAAGCCTTTGTTTCAGCTATTAACGTGTGAGTTAAGTTCTTGTACTCATTATAAAAATCGTCGTTTTGAACATTATCTGAAACAATAGTTATTAAAGACCCAAATGTCTTTCTGTCTTCCTCTAGTCCGGCTAACCTTGATTCTATCGATTCATTACAAGCAGAAACACTTAATTCTAAGCTATTATCTTCATCCATAGGAATCTCCGTTTCCTCCAACAAACTTTGACTTGTCTCGGACCAAGGCCTGTTGGCAGGATCAATTCGTGTACACGCTTCACCAAACTGGATAAACGGATAGTCATGTCTTCGGTTTGTTGTTGCATATTGAGGGAATGTCAGATCCCTATCTGTGTACACTTTAACAAGGTGTTTACACAACATGTAAGCATTATTGATAAATGCAGGACATGAGCAA